AACTGAGATGTTATAAAAGCTACTTTAGCCAGGAGTTGGTGACTCATGCCTGGAATTCTAGCTACTCGGGAGACTGAGATCTGAGGATCACGGTAAAAAGTCATCCCTGGAAGGCTTCATACCACTCCAATTATCTCCAATTAACTCCAAAAAGCCAGAAGTGGAGGTGTGGCCCTAGTATAGAGAGCCAATCTTGAGTGACAAGAGCCATGTGAGGGGTGTGGTACTCTGGCTCAAGCCTCAAAACCATCAAGAGAAAGAGAGGTAGAGAGGGACAGAGCCAGAGACAAATAAAGTCAGAGAGAAAAGGAAAGAAGGAAGGAAGGAAGGAAGGAAGGAAGGAAGGAAGGAAGGAAGGAAGGAAGGAAGGAAGGAGAAAGAGAAAGAAAAGGATGGGAAAAAGGAACAAAGGAAGAAGGAAATGAGGGAGGAAGGAAGGAAAGAAAGAAGGAAGGAAGGAAAGAAGGAAGGAAGAAAGGAAGGGAGGGAGGGAGGGAGGGAAGGAGGTAATCACCATTAAGATTTGAAGGAAAACCTTCCAGCAATGTAATATAATTGGTAACAAAATCATTTTCTAGACAAATCCCCATCTATGACAACTGTAGACATGATGCATGGTCCAGAGCTTGGTCCTTTCAGATGAAGATGGGTAGGTGTGTCCTTCAAAGATTCTGCTCAGAAAAGAGCCGAATACGTCAAAAGAGCAATCCCCATCTATGACAACTGCAGATATGACACCTGGTCCAGAGCCTGGTTCTTTCAGAAGATGGGTAACAGTGACCTTCAAAGAGTCTGCTCAGAAAGAAGCCAAAAGAGCCTTTGGATAGTTCATAAAATTAGGTCATTAATTCTACTATAAGGAACTGATTGAGCTGGTGTGGTATGTCAGGAACAAGCAATTTTTCTTGAGTACTTTTCCTTCGCACTACCTTCCTCCTAAACAACAGAGCTCTGAGGACCTATAAGACCTGGATTTTATGAATACTTCTGCTTCCTTTTGGGACGTTCAATTTCTGATCTTTCCCAGATGCCTACAGTTTGCACATGAGGAAGGGCTGTGTGGCAAAGCTGTTTTCCCCAGACAGAGGTTGCTACATTTGTCAGTGGCAGGGACTGTTTGTCACCTGAGCTGGCACCAGACAGACCCTGGAAGCATGTACAGAAGAGATACCAAAACCTGCAGGCCATCAGCAAGTCTCCCCTAATCCCTTCCCACCTCCGATTCTCTCATTGCCTCCACACCACACTCTCCTCTCCCATTTTCTTTATGGCCCAGTTCTGGTTTGCCTGGAGTAGGGAAAGGGACCAAGGCCCAAAGTGAGCATTATCTTCAGCCTCAGTCAAAAGAAAATGAACCACTGGCTGAACAAACGCCATTGGCTCCTGAGAGCTATTTCTTCTCAAATTGTGGTACTGTTTGTCAGTAGGGGATTCTCTTATATTATGCAGCCACTACGGTAGCCCTTTTACTGTATGTAGAAATAAACAGTTTATTCATGATCTATAGCAATGTTCTTTGTCCTTTTAAAGAAACGAGGAAAGAAGCCCCAAGTCCAGCTTGTTTGGGACTTCTCCTGGCTGGAGATGGGCTTGATCTTGCCTACGCTAACTTTCAAGGAGTGTGTGTTTCACTCCCCATTTGCACAGCAATCTTTTTAGAGCAGGAGAGATCAAGGGTGAGCCTGGAAAGCTAGCCTTCGGGCTGTTGGTCTTGCAGGTTTAAGAGAGACACAATTCATGGCAACCTATTCTGCTCATGTCCCTGGTGAGCAAGGACAGCCCTGGAAATAATTATCTTGGGGGTACAAGCATGCCCTGGGGTCACAAAATGGGACAGCATGAACAGTCATAGGCAGGAAGCAAACCAAGTGTCTGCTCTGCCTCCATCAGCATCCACAGGAGAGGGTTACATGGCAAAAATATTCTCACTTTCATGAATACTTCTTGTACCAGGAAGAGGGTCCTGTGACTCATCCCGTGACTAACAAAGTGCTCAACCCAAAAGGCCAACAGGGGACTTGGCTGAGACTTAGAAGCTTTTCTGGCTCATTTCCCCCTAAGCGAGAAGCTCCACCCATCCTTCCAGTTGGCCCACAAACAGCAGCCAACATGGGCTGCCTTGTAAGTCAAGGAGATTTCAAATATGCCATAAAAGTGTTTGAATCCTGGTGTACTGGTAAAATCAGGGCTTCTGGTTACAATGGCTTATCCCTTGGCATCTTGGAATGTCCATTGTTGCTTCCTGAACACTTCCTTGTGTTACTCACTCACACAGAACAATAGCAGTTCACATGTCACTTCATGCTGACATTGGGATTCATCTCACAGCAATGTTCTCTATCGTGTTTGGATGGCCATGCTTTCTCATTCTAACGCCACCTGCTGCTTTGCTATTACATCCAATAGCTAAGACGGGGTTGACACCTGTCTTATGGCAAAAGAACACATGTCAATAGCTTTGTATCAGATTTCTCCATAAGGGCACATTCAAATAAATTCCTGACACTTGTTTAGGCTTGTCCCAGTACATGATGATTCATTGAAGCAGAGGCTTCAGGTTGCAGTGTCCTGATACACTCTGTCTGGAACTGACTCTCCTCAGGAAATATGTGATCTAGCTTTTCTGAAGAAGGATCTTCCCACAGGAAGCGTAGGGCCACACCTGTCCCTCAAGCCTGGTTCTATGTCTGTGGATAGAGTGTGGCGAAAACCACAGACCCACCTTTGTTTCCAAATGACAGCTGTAGGGTCTTTCAGCCCAGTACAGAATGCCCCAGACTTCTGCTGATGCCAAAGTCTTTTCCTATGAGCACATGGCCCAGAATGGTGGTTGGAATTGGGTTGTGCTTTTCTCTAAGATTCTTCTGCCCAAATAAAGAGTGTCCAGTCCTGTGTGTGGCATCGACGAAGCAGCCACAACACCTGAGTACAGGCTGCATTCAAGATTCCTTACTGCCCAGAAAGAGCAGGACAGGTAAAGGAGACTCGGGAGAACATGGGACAAGGCAAGCCTGAAGAGGGACAGACTGGGATATTTGGCATTTCCTTTTGAAAATAGAAAATGTAAGCCAAGAAAGCATTAGAAATTCAACTCAATAATTTAGTTTAAAACTATGCGTGTGGTTCTGTATTAAATGTAGCATGGGAAGAACCTGGCTAAGCCAGGGGCTGGTGGTTCGCTCCAGTAATTCTATTTACTTAGGACATTGGCATTGGAAGGCTCCAACTTTGAAGCTAGACAAGGCAGAAAAGTCTGCAAGACTATCTTAACCAAAGATGGCATGCACCTGCCATCCCAGCTATGGTATGAAATGAAAAATAGGAGGATTCAGTAAAAGTGGGAAGTGAGATCTCTTAAAAATTGCCAGTGTAGCTGGGTACTAGTGGCTCACTCCTGTAATCCTAGCTACTCCGGAGGATGAGTTCTAAAGATTAGGGTTTGAAGCTAGCCCAGGAAGGAAATCCATGAGACTCTTATCTTCAGTGAACCACCAAATGATAGTGGAGCTGTGGCTCCAAGTAGTACAGTGTTTGCCTTGAGAACAAAAGCTCAGGGACAGCTCACAGATCCTGAGTTCAAGCCCAGGACCAGCATACCCACACACAAAATAGCCAGTGAAGCTAATAGCCACTGGAGGTATGGCTCAATGATAGAATGCATGCCTAGCAAGCATGATGTCCTGAGTTCAATCCCCAGTAGCTCCAAACAGGGTAGAAATTATGATTGGACAGTCACTCTTATCCCTGAACACATGACTTTTCTTGTCTCAAATGATAAAATGATTAGTAACATTTTGTCTCATGAAATAAAGATCTCTCTAGATGCTCAAATACCTGCCTGGCTGATCCCAAGCCTTCTATAAGTTAAACCGCTGAAGAAGTTGAACAGAGCATCATCTGATTTGGCCTGTGTACCCCCATCTACCTCCTACCGAAATGAGCCTTCAAATGGAACTTGGTGACACGCCTCTCCTCTAGCCAGGCCCTGTGGCTGAACTGTGATGCGCCACCATGAATTCTGATGGTTGTGTGAGAGAGGGTGAACGTTCAACTGACACAAGCCACAAATCCACATGATTTTCTCACGACTGAGCACAAGAACAATACATATAGTTATGCCCTCAAATATCTTTCCTATTCATACTATGATCATCTTTACAAGAATTAGAAAAACTACTTTCTACTACTTGGAAAGCTGACTAAAATATATGCAGGTTTTAAACAGAAGAGAATGTATTTAGATAATATACATGAACCACAGTGAAAGAAAACTTCACTGTGATGATGAAGAACAAAAAAGATGTTTTAACTTATGAAAAATAAATTGTCAAGATAGGTTTATCAAAAATCTTATGGAGGCTCATGCCTGTAATTCTAGCTACTCAAGAGGCTGAGATCTGAGGGTTGTGGTTCAAAGCCAGCCGGGGCAGGAAAGTCCATGAGATTCTTATCTCCAATTACCCCAGAAAACAGGACGTGGTACTGTGGCTAAAAATGGTAGACTGCATTGAGCAATAGGGCTCTGGGACAGTGCCCAGGCCCTTCATTTAAGCCCCATGAACAACCAAAAAAGAAAAGAAAAGAAAATCTGCCATGCTATTTCGTTTTAAGAGTACAGAAAAACTGTCTCCCATATCTTGGTATGTTAGTTGAGATATGGTATGATCCCTCTTTTAAAGACAGAAAATTACTAGAGCATGAGAAAGCAAAGGCTCTTAAAGCCTCTGAGCAAGGTAGCAGAAGAATCCTCCCCTCTGAGGCTTAGTGTTCTTAGCCATATAATGATGACACAAGGACATAAGTATGTTAGCTCATGGGACCTGAAAAGTCTCTGGTAAGGTTTGGGCATATAGCCAGTAGGCAAGAATTCTTATTATATATGAACAGTCATCATTACTATTACAGGACGACTGGAATCTATACCTCAGTCTAGAAATGCAAATAATGAAGAAAGTGAGGCAAACTATGGCCGGAAGCCACAGCATTTGCTGTGTACCTACCTGCAGCGATGTAGGAACCTCCTCCAGCTTTATAAAGGAAGTGGCTGGCGAAGGGGGCTGCACAGATGATCAGGAAGCTTGCAGTCAGGACAGCAACCACTCCCAGCAACATCAGGACTGCCCAGAACCCCCGGTAAACTGGACACCCCAGGAGAAGAGGAAGGAAGAAAAACACAGTTAGCTTATGGACATAGCAGACTGTACATAGTAAGTCTCTTACCTGTCCATTTTTTTCTAATTTCACTCATAGCAGTGCTAGCTGGCACCCCAGGCAAAGGTCTTGAATGTGCTTAAACAGTTCTTGCCAGATGACTTTTTGTCACTGGCATCTTCCAATAACCTTCACACTCAGAACTTGCAAGATTCCATGGGCAGTCATTTTTGTGATTCCAGGTTAGAAATTGAACAGGTAAAGTGCTATTCAAGTCAGGTCACATAGAAGTGCTTAGTGCCAACAGTATGAAGACATGAAGGGTATTCTCATGATTTATAAGCATTTCCTCACATTCTCTGCTAAGCTGATGTTTATACAAGACTGAACTTTTGACAGGTGATAATGATCAACACAATTCCCTAAACATAAAGGACAAATATTCAGACCATGATGCACCTGGAAAATATTGCAAATTAATACAAGCTAACTCATTTGTGTGTGTGTGTGTGTCTGTGTGTGTGTGTGTGTGTACAAATTCTAGATTTTGAACCAAGGGCTTAGGCACTGTCTATAAGCTTCTTTTGCTCAAAGCTAGTGCTCTACCAGATGAACCACTGCTCCATTTCAAGGTGGGGGCGGGGTGGGCATTTAATTGGAAATAAGAGTCTCACAGGCTTTCCTGCCCAGGCTGGCTTTGAATCATCAGATCTCAGCCTCCTGAATAGCTAGGATTACAGGCCTGGGTTGCCAGCTTCTGGCACTTTAAATCATTTTTAAAAGTTCACACAATGATGTTATCCAAGAAAATCTGAAATTTTAATTTTATCAGAAGTAATGAAGGAATGCCACTTTCTATTAATATTTATACCAAGAAAGAATCAAAACGAGTGATTCATGAGTTTACTAGTCAAGGATGTGCAAGGCTGCGTTAATGAATGCCATTGGTGAGAAATGGATTGCATGCTTGTGATTTCTAATAAATGAAAAAGAAATCTAATGATCATTTTCCTAAAGCTAAAATGCTACATTTTTGGTGGTATAAATGTGGCAAGTTCAGAGAAACACATTAGATAAATTAAGACTTAAAAAATATAAAAATTTTAATTGTAAAGAATTATATTTTCTCAACAGATCTAGCTAAGAGGAAATGTGTCAGTTAACTCCACTCTTAAAAAAAGGAGATGGGAAAAGAAATCTGTGAGGAAGAGTCCTCAGGGGAGAGGGAAGGCTGGAGCTTTGGTGTGGGTAACTACGTCCTGAGACAGGAACAAAAGTCAGATTCCCCTCACACATACCAGTGAGGCCAAGGCTCCAGGTCTTCTGTGTTAGGAAGGGTTCTGCTTTTGAATTCATGCTCAACAAGAGCAGTGAGGTGAAATAATAGGCTGTCTCTTCAAATTCACAGGTTCAGTTCCTGAGGTTGTAACCAAACCCACACAGAAAATATTTGGGAAAAATGTATATATTATGAGCATTTGTTGCCATTTTTCTAACATTATACCCCAAACAATAAGTATTATAAAGTTATAGTAGGATAATAACTAATTATGTAGCATTCAGTATCATAAACCATGCAGGGGTGACAATGTGTAGGAGATTGTGCATAGATTAGTATGCAAATGCTATGCACTTTACATGAAGGACTTGCACATCCATGAGTTCTATTATCTTTTTATTTTATTTTATTTTTTTATTTTTATTTTTTTATTGTGAAAATACTGTACAGAGGGGTTACAATTACATGGGCAAGATAATGAGTACATTTCTTATAAAGCATTGTAGCCTCCTCCTTTGTTTTCCCTTCCCATCCCTTCCCATCCTCCCCCTGCCCCCCCTACCCAATCCTCCCTGCTACCCCCCTCCCCTGCACCAAAGTTGTAAAGTTCACTTTTCAACATAACAACTTATACATCTCATTGTTGCAATGGGTTCACCTGTATTCCTATTTAAACAATTTGTTTTTCCTCTTCCCCTCCACAAATTATACCGACATCAAATACAGTGAAAGCAGAGGTTATACTGTGGGGGAGGGATGTACATAGCAACAAAGAAATAATCTTAAAAATGTGTTAGAAACAATCGTATGAAAGAAAAAAACATTTCAATACATACCTTAGGGTTCATTTCCTTAACATCATCTTATCTGACCTTTTCTGTTTGACTCAGACATATACTAGATATTGCAAATAAGGGAAACCATGGGAACTATGTTTCTTTGGGCCTGGCTTACTTCATTTAATATAATTTTTTCCAAGCCTTTCCATTTTCTAACAAATGGAGCAATGTCATTCTTTCTGATGGAGGCAACTTAAAGAGAAACTTCTCTGAAGAGGAAAGAAGGATGGCCAATAGACACACAAAATGACATTGAGATACCACCTCACTCCAGTTAGAATGGCTAAAATCAAGAACTCTAAAAACAGCAGATGCTGGAGGGGATGTGGACAGAAGGGAACCTTACTGCATTGTTGTGGGAGTGTAAACTTGTTCAACCACTTTGGAAAGCAGTATGGAGGTTCCTCAGAAGACTCCACATAGAGCTCCCTTATGACCCAGCAATCCCACTTTTGGGCATTTACCCAAATGTTTACAAACAAGACCACACTAAAGCTACCAGCACAACTATGTTTATTGCAGCATTATTTACCATAGCTAAGATATGGAACCAACCCAGATGCCCCTCAGTAGATGAATGGATCAAGAAAATGTGGTATATATACACAAGGGTTCTATTATCTTCTAGGATCCTCAGGCAGTTGTCAGTAGATACAGAGGAACAATAATATTAGTGTCAATTTTGAGTGTGTAAAATCACAGTGTCAGACTGTGGCCAAATATTCAGAATTTATAAAATAATTGATAGGTTTCACCTTTTCTTTTTTTTCTTCTCTCTTCCCTTCCCTGCCCCCCCTCCCTCTCCCTCTCTGTCTCTCTGTCTCTCTCTGTCTCTCAGTGTCTCTCTTTCTGTCTCTGTCTCTCTCTGTCTCTCTGTCTCTCTCTGTCTCTCTGTCTCTCTCTGTCTCTGTCTCTCTCCCTCTCGCCCTCTCTTTTCTTTCTTCTTTTTTGTGTGCCAGAACCAGGGTTTGAACTTAGGGCCTTGTATTTTGTTCAGCTTATTCACTCACACTTAGTACTCTACCACTTGTATCACTTCTAGTTCCAGCTTCTTGCTGGTTAACTGAAGATAAAAATCTTTTGAGGTTGCATGACCAAGCTAGCTTTCAATCTCAATCCCCAGATCTCAGCCTTCCCATATTTCTGGCTCACTTTATTCACTTAGTGCTGGCTCCAATCCAGTTCGATATGGAGTTGCCTCTGCTCTGCCACAGGCAGGCCTGGCCATGTAAAGTCCAAAAGCTGACAACTTTCTGAGTCAAGAAACCAGGAAAAGTAATCTTTATTTTACAAACAGTGAGGGAATTTCTGTTTTTGAATTTTCTCTCATACTTTGCTGTTTTGTTGGGTTCCAAGTAACTATGTGGAACTGTCTCACAGGGCAAGAGGCCCAAACTTTAAGAGAATTCAATCTCTTTGAACAGAAGAATTGGGAAAGGGGTCTTTGAAGCTACTGGGATGAAGGAAACCCCACTGAGGAGAGAACTGGAAAAGACGCTCTGAATTGATGTAGAAATTACCTCTAAAAAGAACACAACAGAAAAGTCAACTGTTACAATAAGACAATATTCTCCAGATAATTTGAAGAGTATAAAACCCTGACAGTGTAATATTCAAAAATGTATAGGAAGGCTAGGAATGTGACTTAGTGGTAGAGTGCTTACCTAGCATACATGAAGCCCTAGGTTCGATTCCTTCATACTACATACACCAAAAATCCAGAAGTGTCACTGTGACTCAAGAGGCAGAGTGCTAGTCTTGAGCAAAAGAAGCTCAGGGACAGTGCCCAGGCCCCGAGTTCAAACCCCAGAACTAGCAAAAAAAAAAAAGTCTAAGAAACAGCCTAGGATTATTTTATATACCAAGAACCCAAAAATGAGATCTATTTTCAAAGGAAGAAGGAAGTAGCAAATATCTTAAAGATGATTTAGATTGTGAATTATTAGATAGATCTTCAAGAAACTATAAGAAGCATTTTCTGTAAGTTGAGATGAATACTCTGTAAACGAACAGAGACAGAGCAAGTCTCAATGAGAAATAGAGACTATAACAAAAGAACCCAATAAAATTTGTGGAATTAAAAAGTCTAGCACCTGAATTCTAACAATCCTGACATGGGCTCCTTAATAGATAGCAAGAGAAAGAGTAATTATCATTGAAAATAGAACAATATAAATTATCCAATATGAAGAATAGAACGGATGAAATACTGAAGAAAAGAATTGAGATCTAGATTTGTAGAACAATATCAAATATTCTCACATTTGTATCATTGTGGTCTCTAAAACATATTATAGAATAATAACAATCACATTTACCCAAATGCTTAATTAGGAAAGATGGAGGCCAAAGATATTAGAACCTTATTAAGAATCCAAAGGCCTATAGACAAAAAATGTTGGATCTACTTATATCTTAGAAATAGGAAAATAAAAGAAAGACACCTGCAAGAAAGGATTGAACAAGGTGACACAGAAGACTTTTTCTACAATAAATCCATTCTTGCTTGGCTCTTGTGGCTCAGTCTGTAATCCTACCTACTCAGGAAGCTAAGATTTGAGGATTGAGGTTTGAAGCCAGCCCAGCATTGAAGTCCTCGACACTCCATCTACAATTAGCCAGGTAAAATCCAGCAGGGGAAGTGTGGCTCAAGTATTAGAGCAACAGTCTTGATCAAAAAACAAGCAAAAGTACTAGGGCCTGAGTTCAAACCCCAGTGCCAACATTAAAAAATGAAAAAATATATGTTTTGTAGGCTAATAGAACACACAATAGTAATGTATATTTGAAACTCCAGATACAAAGAAAAGAGAAACACAAATTGTTCATATCTGTGAGTATAGAAGCTCACCATCTTCTCTTAAAATTT